TGGTTAATGCTTGACTGCTGTCTGAAAAGGACCTAGTACTCAAGGAGCAATTCAGGATGGGCAATAAAATTGTAGTCACATCCCATGAATTTAATCCCATGATCTTGTAATTGTTTACCCATTCTGGTGAGGTATATCTTATACACATTTGCTCTTAGTTGACAACTTTGTGTCTTGCTGCTGGCTGCTACCATTCAGCACAATTTCACAATCAGAGTTTTCTTCGTCACTCTCTTTGTGCATGATTGACATGTTGTACAGCAGTTGGTTTGAGCTGGCTTCTGTTCCTTCACCATGTAGATCCTTGATTGCTAGTAACTTCATATGACCTGGGCTGATTTTTTTTTTTAAATATTCATTTGCAGGAGGAGCATCTCTGGCTGGGCCAGTATTTATTGCCCGTCCTAGTTGCCCTTAAGAAGGTGGTGGTGAGTTGCCTTCTTGAACCACTGCAGTCTATGTGCTGTAGGTAGGCTTACAATTCCGTTAGGGAGGGAATTCAAGGACCCAGCGGCAGTGACTTCCATGACTTCAAATCCCATGAGCTCGAGAAGTGTGTCACAACATCTCTGAACACGTTGATTAGAAAATCGGGGAGGCAATGGCCTAGTGGTGTTATTGCTGAACTGTTAATCCAGAGACACAGGTAATGTTCTGGGGACCTGGGTTCGAATCCTGCCACAGCAGATGGTGAAATCTGAATTCAATAAATATCTGGAATTAGAAGTCTAATGATGACCATGAATCCATTGCAGATTGTTGGAAAAACCCATCTGGTTCACTAATGTCCTTTAGGGACGGAAACTGCCATCCTTATTTGGTCCGGCCTACATGTGACTCCAGACCCACAGCAATGTGGCTGACTCATAACTGCCCTCTGGGCAATAAATGCTGGCCTAACCAGCAACTCCTTCATCCCGTGAATGAATAAAAAAAAAAATCTATGTGCCATTGATGCATGGCTGAATTGCAAACCACCATCAGGAAATTGGCTATTTCAGGATCATGTAGATCATCATTGGACTGTCTGTGATTCAAGAATGGCATCTACCCAGAGTCATGGGTTTCTGCCATGGTTCCTTGCAGGACAATTAGGCTAATTCCCAAACCTCAATTCTTTGGGCGTACGGCCAAGATGTCCCAAGAGGTAGTGGGATGTCGAGTGTAGCATTTTCTTCCCTGTCCTTTCTTCTCTGCCTTTGGTTTCAAAGCATTTTAAGCAACCGACAACAAACCGCTTCCAGTCATTAATGCCAATGCTGTCATGCATCAAGAGCCTCCAAATGCATGTGCAGTGTTTTCTTTGTCCTCCGTGGAATAAAGGCCACTTAAGAGTTGAGAAAATAGAACTTAATGGGGCAGATGCCTTTTAGCCATTGGATGGAATATCAAGTTCATCATACACAGTTTTGCAAGAGGTTTTCCTAAGTGGTTGTGGAGCTAACTTCAAGAAAGACATTACCATTTGTTCAATGGCCCTCTTAATAAAACTAGAGATTGTAATGGAGGCACTGCTGGTAGAATTTATCTGGCGTTCTTGTGTATTGCTTATAGTCCAGGTACTATTGCAGTACAAGGGTGTGATGCCAATAGTCACCTTGTACACTGGGATTTTTGCTGACTCGTGGGTTTTTTTGTTGTCAAACTCTCACTGCTGTAGCTTGTACAAGGTCTGGCGTTGGATCCTTTCTTCAAAAGGTGGCTTTTAGGAAGTACAGGAAGTGATAGGAAGTGATGAATAGGTTCTAGAGTCTCTCCTTCAACATACATGGGAGGTAGATTATTTTACTGAGTAGATCTGGGTGAAACCCAAATTATACTTATCTGAAGCCCAGGCTAAGTTTCCCAAATGAACCCTCTAAATTTGCACAACATCTACAAACATCCACAAACATCCACTCCCTCCACCACCGACGCTCAGTAGCAGTTGTGTGTACTATCTACAAGATGCACTGCATAAATTCACCAAAGATCCCCAGACAGCACCTTCCAAACACACAACCACTTCCATCTAGAAGGACAAGGGCAGCAGACATATGGGATCACCATCACCTTCAAGTTCCCCTCCAAGACACTCACCATCCTGACTTGGAAATATATCATCATTCCTTCACTGTCACTCAGTCAAGATCCTGGAATTCCCTCCCTAATGGCATTGACGGTCAACCCACAGCACATTGGTTCAAGAAGGCACTTCACCACCACTTTCCCAAGGGGCAACTAGGGACGGGCAATAAATGCTGGCCTAGCCGGTGATGCCCACATCCCACAAAATGAATAAATAAAAACAACACACAGCAATTTCCCTTGCTCTCTTTCAAAAAACTAGGGGAAAAGACTGAGAAAGCTGTATCACAGCTCACACCACCCTGCATTTCTCCTCTCATGAAGATAATGGGCATTCTGAGGGAGTACCTATCAGCAGAAAAAATTATATACTGTCATAGCTTTAGATATCCCTCAGCAACATGTCTCAACCACTCTTATAGATGTAGATTTATTAATTTATGTAATATTGTCACTTGTACTTAGGTACCACGTTCTGGTGCCATCTTGGATTACAGAATAAATTACTCAATAAACTGTACAAATGGTAAAATACTCAATAAATTAATATTAAATTTATATTGCTAAAACTGAAACAGCTTCAAAAGTTCATCTCTCCCTCTCAGTAGACTTCACTGTCTCTTCTCTTCCAGTCACCACCATCTGACATTGTTCCCGTGGTCCTGGCAATTTGTATCTTTCCTGTTACCACCGGCGCCATCGCTTCCATGTCTGCTGCCTCCAAGCTGGAGACGGTCAATGCTGTGCGGGTCCCGTAGGCTTCTCTGACATCGGACATTGACTGATGGGTCCTGACTCTGAGTCGACTGACAGGGTTCTGGCTCGTTTTCTGATGTGGCCGCCTGAGGTTGAGCGGAGACGGAGATACACGGCCTCCAGCAGGAGGATATCAGACGGAGGCCCCAGAGCAACCAAAACCAAAAAGCAAACGTGACCGAGCTACCAAGCTGGACAGGCATCGATGAAGCTGTGTGGATGCGGCAGAACCCATTGCATGAGCCCACTTGCGGCCAACCCCCACAATCAGAAGTCAACCGTTACCGTTCCCTCGGCCATCTTGAATTTAGGGACTCAGTACGTGTGCAGGATCAAGCAGATGGGTTAGATTAGAGAAGACCAGCACTCCACTTTTGAAATGAGTAGTGGCAGGGTAGGCACTGACCGTGACATGCAACGAATAAGTTTGGGAGCAATAATTTGAACTTATTTCTCCTGAAACAGGGGAATTTTCCCGAGAAAACATAATGGAGGGTTGTAAACGTTTTTCAGATGGGAAAAAGCATTTTCTTCTGCTTGCGGTATTACTTAGGCTTGTGCAAACTCAATTGCAATGGCTAGTGAGAAACACTGGGAGAGAATGCAAAAAGCAGAATGCAGTCAAAACCAATGGGAAATTGGATGAAAACAATGATGATGAAAATATGATGCATAGGTGCGGCAAAAAAAGACAAAGTGCAAACCCTAACAACAGCTAGCACGTTCAAATACAATATCCATCCTAAATGGTTGCTTAATTACTTCAACACATTCCTGGAATTGAACATGGGAAATGGACTATCAAATAATTATCAGAAGTTCTGTAGCATTAATCAGGTTATTGCAAGAAAGTTCCATTGATTTTTCTGCTGAAAATATGATTTGCCTACAGAAGACAATCCTTTAGAAGATGGGAAGTACAAGTCATCAGAAACAGTGGACAGGTTGTGCTCAATAAGCTTTTGCTAAGTCATTTTTCTACAGCTTTGAATAGATTTTCTGTAGAAGCAATCACTTGTGGAGAACCAATACAGCTCATAAATGTGTTTTCTTTTGGAATTGGTATTCTGTAATCTATGAAGGATAAAGCATTTACTGGACAGGAGGGCATTGAAAATTTGCAGAACTGAAGATTGCTTTGCATGGATTATTCAATAAATCAAAGAGTTTTGGAACAGCATCAATCTCCTAATGAGATGTAAATAAATCACTGCCCTTTAGACTTATCATTAGCTGACTGCATCTATTTCCTATATACAAAATAAAGATTATTGCTGTCAATACAATTACAGAATCAAAGAGTTCGAATTTCACTATATGTCATTTCTAGTGAAATAGATCACAAACTTGAGTATATTTGCTAAGTACATTTGTGCAAACAGTTTGTTTAAAATAACACTCAGCACATTTTGCAGCAGTTAACTATGGGTCTGCTAAGACTGTTTCAATTTATGGAAAGGCTAAAAGATACAGAAATAGCTGGAAAAATGATCTCAAGTTCACAGCACCTTCCAGATTAACCCACCTGTCCCCCCACAGAAATTTGTAGCAAGGAAATGATGTGGCATTATCCTCTGGATCATTTGCATCCTTAGCCTCGCAAAAACATGAGCTCGTGTCAAACTGCCCATGAACATCACCAAAATACTGGACTTGTGCAGTAAATACAAACAAATCCCTCCACAGATATTTAAGGCCACTGGTGACGTGGTTGTCGCAACTCTTTCAAACTTTAAGAGGCAGAGAAAGAAACCTACTGGAGGTAAAGAGTCTCATCCCACAAATAGTAAGTTCAAGTTTTAAATTCTTCTTTACTTTTTTTGTTACTTCTCATTTCCATCATTGTGAACCCAATTACGCTTTTCCCAATTTCACTTTCCTATTGAACATGGCTATAATTAACTTATCACCTTCTCGGTCACTCCTCCTATTTCTTCATCTATCTTTAATTCTCGCTGTTTGAGGAGACATTGGACCTAAACTTCACATGGTCCCAGAGACTTCACTGTCCTCTCTGCACCAGCTGTAACATGAAGCAAAAAAACTAACACGGTCTGAAGGGTGACGCAAAAGAAAAGGCAGTTTGAAGTGCTCGTTAGATACCATGTTTCAATAGTTACTACACCATTAATTCTTAATTATGGAAGTTAGAATATTAAACAAAATTATCTACTTACTCAGAGTCTTGCAGATATCAATAACGGCCCTGAAGACCACAGATGAGAAACTAACTTTTAACCTTACTGTCTTCATATTGGGTAGCTGCAATTTTAATGATTTATGTTGTGGAGTGTACAACAATTTAGCATCAGCCTGGATTCCATATTTGTCCAGAGTCCAATGTGTCTTCAGAAGCCAGCATTTTTTCTTTGCCCACCAAAGAGCATAGTCTGACCAGTCCTGAGGTACTGCTGTAACAAAAATAAAATAGCTTTGTTAACATACAAAGTGACATCAAACTTGAACCTTCTCAAAAATGTGAACAAATAGCTGAATATTTCAGTGTCATAGAGGTCTGCAGCACAGAAACAGGCCCTTTGCCCCAACTTGCCCATACTGCCCAGTTTTCACAATTTAAACTAGTTCCATTTGCCAGTGTTTGGTCCATATTCCTCCATACCTATCCCATCATCTACATACCTGTTTAAATATTTCTTAAATTACAACATTGTACTCACTTTCACCACTACGTCTGGCAGCCCATTCCAGACACTCACTACCCCCTGTATGAAAAAGAAATGCCCCTCTGGACCCATTTGTATCTCTCCCCTCTCAATCTAAAGCTGCAGTTAAACTAGCCCCCTCTAGTTTTAGACTCCCCTACCATGGGGAAAAGTTGTTGGCTATCTAACATATTGAGGCCTCACATGTCAAGATCTCTATAATCAGGCAAGATTGCCATCCTAGACTGTAACACAGAAGTGGGTAGTTCTGGACTTTGTGAAAATGTGTCATTTAGATGATAGCAAGTAGGGCAGTCAGGCCATGCAAATGAATAGGAGATGGTCATGCACGCTGACTTCCTTTATGCAGAGATTGGGAGCAGATCCATAAAACCCAGTGCTATTGTTTAGCTGTACTTCAGAATGGCACAAAATCAGGAACTGCATAGCAACCATTGTGGAGTTAGAATGTGGAATAATTCCATATCTTTTTTGGCTACAGTCTTTAACTTCAAAGACTCATTATCTGCTAAAAAACCTATGGCTAGCAAACTTTCCTTTCAACATTCCAAAATGACTATATGTGTAATTATACCAAGTCATCTTTAACAATGGCACCCATCCAACTTGGTTCTGACCAATTCTCCAGTGCCAGCCCCTTAAATAATGATGCTAGCTCTAAGGTCCCAGAAACACCCATGCTTTTTTTGCTGTCCTACTGTGAATAAAGTGCAATTCCACGTGCAACTGCATATTATCCTAACACAAGAAGTCTCCAAATGTTTAAAAGCCTGACAGAGTGTACTTCTGATGCACCTTACTCTGTTATCTTGGGCTGTTGCTTTCAAAGATGATCCAACCTTGATTATTGTCGGTGCTGAGTACATACTAGAGTTCTAATTTAAGCAACATATAAGTGTACAGCTTGGAAAAGCATATCATGGAATGCATATTATCATTTTTGGGATTTGGATTTTAAGAAAGGTAGGAGGATTGTGTTCAATTCTGTGAAGTTTTCTTTTAATAAACAGGTCAAAAAGTCAGTAATCCAAGTGCATCAGTTCCAAGAAGACAAAACGTGCCTGGAAGAGCACCTGGGTGTTAATGGATAAAATGTATACACTGCTGGGTTTATGCCATGTAGAGTAAACACATCAGGACATGAAATTTACTTTTGACCAGAAGAGAAGTTTCAAGCTTTTAGTTCAGGAGAATCAGAAGCCCAATTCAGAAGGTAGCAGGGAAACCAAGTTTTTCCCATTCAAATCATGGGAGCCAGTCATCTTAGCAGAATGGTTCCTATTGTATGGAGCTCCCAAGAAGAGAACATTTGGATATAAATCCTCAAGTCGTTAGACCGCAGATGTTCAGGCTATCAGAACCATGAAAGGTTCACACTAGCCAGGTCTGAAAGAAATCATAAAATTATCCATATTCCAAGGGTAAAAAGGGAACTGGAAAGTGTCAGTTAGTAAACATTTAAAAAGCTAAAATTGGAGTGCTATTTCTCTGGGACTCAGTCTCTGTAAATTGTGAAATAAGTTGATACTTTGTTTTCATGACCTTTATAACTATAAGCGTGTGTTCGTTTTATTTCATATGACGAATTTATGACCTGTTTTCGAAGAACATCTACAGCCTTGTCTGAACATGTTTGTGATAAACCATCACATTAAACAACTGCAGAAGTTAAATATATGACCTATGAAGCCAGTTTCTTTCTGGTATCCGACTTGCCCAGTACTGCCATCAGCCAGAATCCTAACACAGGCAATACGTTGAATATAAAACTTAACCTTCATGAGTGGATCTTTATTGATAGTCATCACATTAAGTTGGATGGTTTATAAAAGACGCAAATGACATAACCGTGTAACAAATAGCACATTATTCTGTTACTAGGGCAGAGCTGTACTATTCAGTACAGGCAGTCCCTGGGTTGAAAGTGTGCTCTCAGCTTCAATCTATTTGCAAGTCGGAACACAACGCTGGACAATGTAAAATTGTCGTTTGTAAGTATGAGGAAATATTTGGATCTTTAAAATTATTAGTACACTCCTGCACAGGATTGCATTTGTAAGTAAGAGGATTCATAAATCAGGGACCACCCATATTGCACTCATCACCAAAGCGAAAACTAATTGGCGATGCACTGTTGATCTCTAAGAGTCACCTAGTCTGTTTAAATTCAAGAAATATTTCAGCTAGCCTTCAATATCGATATCATTGAAAATAACTGCTTTAAGATACCAAAGTCAAAAGTTCATGGACCATGGAATCTCACTTAAAACTCTCATCTGGTGCTATTTTCTAGAATGTTATGGCCTACACACCAATGTCCAAATAATTATAATGTTACGGTAATGTTGTAGGGCTAGAAAGAGAAGTAATTGCAGGAGACTCTGTGTTGCATGATGCTAATAGCAGCTGATGACTAAATCATAAATTACAAACACACAAATTAACACTGAACAAAACATATTATCCAGAGGGAATGCATGCTGTGTGAAATAATCATGCCAGAAATTGTCCTGCTTTTTACTTGTCAAATCCAAGAGTTATCTGAAGGCAGGAAACGAATGAAGCAATTTTTATATTATTTTGATCCCTATAAATAAGCTGTTGCTGCAACTATTTATGCATTGACACGTGCTGCCCCCATCTTGTAAATATCTGAGTCTACAAATTATAAATGTGGAGCCTCATTCTTTCAGGTTGTGAATGATTTTCAGAGATTTTTAAGATGTCAGATTTTTAAAAATTCAATTCTTACTTTTTCTGGTCTCCCTGTTATAGGAAATATGTTGTTAAATTTGAAAGGGTGCAGAAAATATTTACAAGGATGTTGCAGGGATTGGAAGGTTTGAGCTATAGGGAGAGGCTGAATAGGCTGGGGTTATTTTCCCTGGAGCGTCGGAGGCTGAGGGGTGACCTTATAGCGGTTTATAAAATCATGAGGGGCATGGATAGGGTGAATTGCCAATGTCTTTTCCTTACGGTGGTGGAGTCCAAAACTAGATGGCATAGGTTTAAGGCGAGAGGGAAAAATTTAAAAGGAACCTAAGGGACACCTTTTTCACACAGACAGTGGTGAGTGTATGGAATGAGCTGCTAGAAGAAGTGGTGGAGGCTGGTACAATTACAGCACTTAAAAGGCATCTGGATGGGTACATGAATTGGAAGGGTTGACGGGGATCTGGGCCAAATGCTGGCAAACGGGACCAGATTATTATGGGATATCTGGTCGGCATGGACGAGTTGGACCAAAGGGTCTGTTTCTGTGCTGTACAACTGTGAGTCTGTCTCTCTTTCCCCCTCTATTTCTCTTTCTAGAGCTGATCTGATAATGAATTTACCTCCTTTAATTTGCACTCCTTTTGAGTCCTAGACCTATTTCTTTCTAAATTCTTTAACCTGTTTAACTGTTTCCCCCAATACTTGCCAAGATCTGAAGGAGCAGCCACTGCTGCGGGGGGACGTCTACATGAGTCTTAGCATCCAAATAGCAAGACCCTCCTACCTTGGGCCCGTAATGAAGTTCCCAGGTTTAACTCGGGATATACGCAACTTCATGACAAATTCCTGAATGTCAAACTACGTCTAGACTTCAGAGTACCATTTTGAAAGTTTGTTACCTAAAAAAATTAGCAATAATAAATGGGCTTAAGTGACTTCATAACAGCAATATAGAATCTTGGAAATTACAGAACAGAAAAAGCCCATTCAGCTCGTCATGCCAATGCTAATGCTAACTTTTCAAATCGGGTCTATTCTAATTATGTGTTGCATGAGTTTGCTCGAAGCTACGCTACTCTAAATATAATTTTACAACTTGCATATATTCTTTAACAATCATTTTCATGATTTTTTTTTGAACTGTTACCCTAAGTATCCTGATTAAACTGAAGGGTCACCCATTCAGTATGATCATGGCTAATTGAACACTGCAATGACTTACTTCTACCCCAAACTCATAATCCTGGACAACATTGACAGGAACCCAACAGCATAAATATCTTATCCATTAGCACTACATGGGCTCTTGCCAGGTTCTGGAACGTGTATGAAACCACTCTTTACAATCAACACAGGCTACGGGATTTAAATGTTTTGCAAAGCACAACACAAATTCTACAAGATTCAGGTGAAAGAATCTCTGGATCTGTATGGATTTCAAATTGTAAAAAAAGGACATCCACAGAAATTTCATATTTCTATTCCTTACTTACTGAGGAATGACCTGCAAACTCAGGAATCATTAACTTAAACAGCTTCAAATGGTTTCCAATGGATGGTTTAAAAATAAAACAAAATCAGCCAGCTCTGTGAAAGTGCATTGTAACACATAATTAGAATAGACCCGATTTGAAAAGTTAGCAGTAGCATTGGCATGACGAGCTGAATGGGCTTTTTCTGTTCTGTAATTTCCAAGATTCTACATTGCTGTTATGAAGTCACTTAAGCCCATTTATTATTGCTAATTTTTTTAGGTAACACAGATGAAGAAGCAGTGGTTATTTGTCAGATATTTAACCCACTGAGCTGGCCCAATATATCCTGGATTTCCCCAAAGTTACAGAACTCAACTCAACTGTGACCAGAATGCCTCATTGACAGGAAATACACTTGTCAGCCTCTCAAGTTTACAGAAACAAGATTTACAGAAACACAGAATTGTTTTGGTGCAGAAGAAGGCCATTCAGTCCATTGAATCTGTGCCAGTTCTATTACCAAGTGCCAATCTTCTG